ACGTCGTGCAAAAACATCTCATTATTTCGCAACATCAAATTTCCCGGTCTTTTTCGCAAAACCGGCGCCTCAATTACGGACTGCACGCGCTAAACAGGGGCTCGCAAAAAAGAAGCGTGAACCGTACTGCCGTGCTAAGGAAGAACGCCGTATGAACCTTCGAGCGTTGCCAAATTTCCTCCGATAAAATGTTTATTTTTGAGGAAAATTTTGAATATTCTACCTTGAAATTTTCAGAAGTTTTAGATCACACTAGAAACAAAATTATCTGAGAAATTGGTAGAAAAATATTCAAAAATGTCCCTATAAATTAGTGATTTGCCAGGGGAAATTAGGCAACGCCTGAAGGTTCATACGACGTTTTTCCTTAGCACGGCGGCGTAGCGTGACGAGCTCGCAGCTCTTTCGTTTAACAAGTACAGTTCACGCACTCGGGCGGGGAGACACCCCCGAGGGGGAAAAGGGAAAAGAAAACAGATAAGCATCTACGGGGAGTAATTTGGTAATTTTCACACCGAGACCAATTAGCATGCCGTACGCCGCGTCGTAGATTTAATCACATAATTCCATTCAGACTGAGGATTACGGTGTTCTTAGGACAATACTGCCCCCTTGAGGAAGAATCGCATTACTCGTATGGTAAATCTTGGCGCGATACGAGGTTTTTGCCGAGCAGAGGTAGAACAGATCGCAATCTGGTACTTTACTGGTCGCCCGTTAATCAGCTGATGAAGTCCAGGCTCGTAAACCCCGTCACATTTGGATGTATTTACTTTAGAAGGAACTATGTTGCATGCAAACCCTATGCACATAGTTCCTTTTAGCATAAATACGTCCATCTTAAGGCGGTCTCCCCTCGCAAATTATTATTTAAAGTAGGCGGCGGCGTTAATCTGAATATTCAAATTCATTCCATGCTACCCCGAAATCAGTGCTATCGACATTTCATGCGTTTATTACGTAATATTAAATGCGTGGTGTGGTGCGAGTCCATTGTTTGGCTCTGCCATATTTTTCCACTGTATAAGAATCGATGTGGAGATATATTATGGTAGAGAATTCCTCTCTTTAGAACCGAAATTGCAATTTGCCAACATCTTTGATCCAAGTTTAAAAATGTTGTTACAGATATTATTTTGACCTAACGTTTCAAATTTACTGACATTTGGGTCACAATTTTGACATTTTTGGTTAGGACCGTAGCTCGATCAATGTTAACAGTTTGCTCACATTAAGCACATTATTTTGACTTCCAAAAAATTGTGACATAATAAATAATAATTTTCATCGATTTTTTTTTTGGATTCTAGGTAAATAGATCCTGAGTTTGAATCCCAGTATCAGCGACAAATTGTTATGAAGCTGACGAGTAGAACTGCTGAAACAGATTTCACTCGGCCTTGACCCTAAAAAATTTAAGCTTTGAACATAGATGTGTCTATATTTCTGTTGTCAAGTCCAGGGACATTTAGATGGCTGTAGGTTCCTATCGAAATAAATGCCGAATAACCAGCGGGAGAAAAATGTATTTAACTTGTGACCAAAAGTTGAATTTGATCGCTCTGTAATCAAATTCAAACACTGTTATTACAATAAAGCCCCAAATTTCACGGGTGATTGCAAAAGTAAACTTAAGTGTAAATTACATCCATGACCCCTATTTTATTTCAAAAAGGAAAAATATAAGTTCATTGTGATTCATGATTTGGTGTCTCCCATTTTTTTGCATAAAACGTAGCATTACCTATTGCACTAAGCGCATTAAGCACTTATGAATCCTGTGGGCAATGTTTCAAAACGTCTCGCGAATTTTGGCTATGTGAGCCGACGGATCACTGAAAAAAAAACACATTGGATCTAGAGTCCAGACTCTCGAAAACGTTGACAAGAAAAAACACTCTTGATTCAATCGGATTTTTGCTTGAATCAAGACGAAATCCGCTTAAATTAAGAGGCTTGGTTCTTAATTTAAGCTAGATTCTGAATGAATCGAGAGTACTTTTTCTTGTCGATGTTTTTAGGAGTCTGGACTCTAGATCCAATCCAATGTGGTTTTTTTCCTGTGATCGAATAAAAGAGGAAATCCGGCATGGAACAACATACTGTGCCTCATTAGATGGAAATTTTTTGATCACAATCAATGTATGGTCCGTGATTACGACTCTCAAAACCTGAGCTTTTTCGGCGTGCCGCTCCATGTATGGACGAATTTATGCTAAAAGGAACTATGTCTCACGCAAATCCTATGCACATAGTTCCTTTTAGCATAAATACGTCCGTATGAGGATTCTGACGAAGCAGAATTGAGTCGGGATTGGAGGGGTCAGAACCTGGCTCTCCGTTTCCGTCGCCGGATTTAACTTTCATTAAAACGGAGCTCGAGAGGCTGAGCCCGCGTGAAGTCGTGCGGGTTGCGTTCGGCTCTTTCAGGAGTCGTTAAAAAGACTTATGCGGGGAATCGCGGGCTGATTACGCGGTTTGGATTAGACGCGTCAATTGAGCCGCCGCCGCGCGAGAGGCAGGGCCGGAACATTTCGGGCCCATCGCTCATCCGCCTGGACAGTGTGACTCCGCTGTTGCCGTCATGAGTAGAATTTATCATCATTTTTGGAAATCAAGGGAAGTGAAGTTAGTCGTCTCTAAATGACGTCAAATATCCATAGAGAGGGGAATCTATAGGCGCCAGACACATGCCGAAAATTACAATCGGAGCATAGAGAAAAGAAAGGTGTTTGCATCTTGAGGATTGTTTATGTTTACCCCGTGACATAGGTCGGTACAGGTACTCCAGCAAAATCCGGAATTTGAAGTATGAAAAATGGGCTATAACGTCCGATTTTTTGCTTAAACCAACTCATGATATAATTTCAAGCACTTTATATAGAATGAATATTTTCCATAAACTGCACCATTGCCAAAAAATCGATGATAAAAATCGTCCGTACCGACCTACGTCATCAAAACAATCTAGGATGCCCGAAATGCGAACACCTCCTATTTTACTCTATGCACTCGGGGGACCTGACATGCGCCAAAAATTATATTAAGGGTGCCTGACATGCGCTAAAAATTACATTAGAGGTGTTTTATATATGAACAGAGTAAGGGTAAAAAAATCAGAAAAATTGCTTGACGTTGTACAATACTGGCCCCTTAGGCGCAAGACATCTGCAAAGCATGAAATTAATCTAGACAAATTTATCTACGTTTTTTTTTTTTTAAAAAAAAAGAAAAAAAATTACGAGTGTGCGTGTATTCTATTAGAGCCTATCATTTAACCGAAATATTTACGGAAAATGTAATGATTTTAGTATAAAAAAATCGAGTCAAAATTACAAAAGTTTCCAAATGTAAATACGCGACCGACGCCAAAGCGATATCGCATATATATAATTCCAAAAATTTTAAATTAAGACCTTTCAAGTTTCCATTCTCGTAATGAAGTTTTTGACTTTTTTGTGGCATATATTTATCTGCTTATGAGTGAGCTATAAGATGGAAAATAATCGTTAAGTTAGCTCACATGCCTGGACAATCCTCAAACGTAATCCTTGGAATGTTCGTGCGAATAGTGAAGAATGTCCACGTCCCTTCGAATTTGTGTCTACCTTTGTGAAAGAGGAATTTAGTACTTACCGAAAATTTGAGAGATGGTTCACGAGCATAGAGAAAAGCTGCGGGTAGATTAAGGTAGGTTAAGGTAGGTTAGGGTAGGTCAGGTTAGATCAGGTGAGGTGAGGTTCCGATCATAGAGACCGAAACTCACAATCAGCTCAGGTGACTGAGGTTCTCAATGAGAAATACGAGTCTTAACTTGTCTCACAAAAGCGATGATTACATGATCTACATTTTGGTTCCTGTAACCAAAAAGTTCGTTTACCGGGACTGGAAACTTTGGTGTCCCACTTTGAATCGACGAATCCTCTCTATGAATGGTTACAAAATATGACCCGGATATATTTTATTGTCACAAAACGGTCCTCCAGGGGCACGTTGCGGCCAAAAAGAGACCCCTAAGTGAGGTATTGGGTGTTTTTTGGATATTCCGTCAATCCGACAACTTTTGCCCGTACCTAGCCCTCGCACACTCGGACGATTGACTCCTTTTGACCCAAGATAATTACTCTTCTTCTGTTCCTTAAGGTCGCTTTTCCTTTTTATTCCCGCCTCTTTTATTTAGCGGCCGTCCCCTCGTCCCCAAATCCGTTTCCTTTGATGATATACAGACTTAGGTAATAGTGTCCTTACCAGCGTCCGATAATTTAAGACCGCCCTATCGGGATAAATTTGAAAAGCTCAGTTCCTGCCCTCAGATTTCCTTTGCTCCAATCCGTTCTCTCTCCTTGCGAGAATTTGCCCTCTGAACTCACGCGGAAAATTATTTTATGGGGAAATGAAAGGGCTTAATGGGATCATTCGTCGTTTTGTAAATCAACCAGGCAGAATATCAGCCATCTATGTATACGAATGTGCATGCAGATGGCTGAAGTAAAAAAATGCTGAAATCTCTGATACTGACGTTGCAAACCTCTCCTAATGTTTTATTTTTTCAAAAGAAAACTGACCAAAAGTTTCTCTGGAATTTTTTCGGAATATTCTTCACTAATTCAAAAGGTATTACTCCAAAATGTCAAGGAGCATTTTGACTAGTTTCCTTTTGAAATGACAAAACATAATTGGAAATCGGCGAACTTTATAATAAAAATACTTGTTTTTCCTCTTCAGCCATCGATGCAAGGGAAAAAGTCATGTACTATAACGACGTAAAGGTACAAAACCTTTTACACAGGAAACGGCACTGAACGCGCCTTCATTTTTTCGGCTATGCAGCATGGACAGTTACTGAGTTCGAATAGTTGCATCCAGGCGTTGTCATCCTCTTCGTTGCCTGAACATACTACACATCTATGAAAACTTCCGAGAAGTTTTAATTCCGTTTTACCGCTCTTTTAAGCAGCTAATATTACTAGGGGACATCTATTCTATTTTGAGAAACTTACCTAAAACTACTTGGTCCAAATATTTCATACTGTGTAAGTGCTCGAGCGGAATTTTATCATCATCGGTGTGTTTCATTGTTCGGTTAATCTCCTCGATTATGTTCAACTGGACCTCAGGATTGACCGATACTTCGTACAGCGCGAATGTCAAGGCCGAGTGAATTCTTTCCATGTGCTCTTGAATGAATAGCATAATTGAATTCACGATTTCTTCTGTGGTTAGAGCTGAAACAAATATTCATAAAAAGTATTTATTTTATAAAATTAGATGGGCGTAAGTTAGACTGGTATGTATGGAATGAGGTAAGATTGGAGAAGCACTTATCTAAATTGGGATCCCGAAAAAGATCTTATTATTATGTATTGTGTCGATGGCTAAACCACGTATCTCCATTCCGGTATTTCAAAATGTTCGCTCCTATCCAACTTCATAGCTTGAAATTTTTCAGAAAATTCTGCTAAAAGAGAAGAAAAATCAAGAAAGTTTTCGATTTATGAAGTTTACCATGTTTTAAAAAAAACCATGAAGTATCACAGGAAGTCTACAACGTCGCGAACAAAAATACAGGGTTTCACAAATTGGCCATCGGTGTGTTTAGCGGATAAATCGTTGCTCCCCTGGCGTAAGGGCGTATCTAGATTTCCACGTGAAACCTGTTGTCCATATAATATCATGCTTATCAGGGACCATGTTGAAATCGAGATACGCCCTTACGTCAGAAGAGCGGCGGAATGTTGCTGATTAGTGGAGGCTGCGTTTCAAGATAGTTTTGCATTCAAGCCTTGAGATACTGCCGAAATGGTGATCATGAGTAGATAGGAGGTTTTTCTTATGCATTTTTGCTAATAAATCCATGTATTGTAGAACGGTGTATAACCTGGGGTTGCATTTTTCCAGCTGTATATTTTCATAGGACTATTGAGTGCATATTTTATTGAATTATACAAATAAAATTGCAAACTCGTCTCCTATGGAATGCACCACTTATTGTTAGTTACGAACTATCTCAAGAAACTCTCAATTCACTGAAATATTAAGGGTTTCCTCTCTGGTGACTTGTGAAATGCTAATCATGACATAAACAGCGTTCAACATCAATCTTAAGTCATTATTATCTTCGTCGGTCATCTTCTCTAGGATGGTGCGAAAAAACCTCGGAAATATTTCACTTCTCCACTGATCACTCCATATGGGAACAGCCGGACAGGCATGAGTGATGAACGCTGGCGAGTGTTTCCGTATCGTGAAATATTCGACTATTCCTTTGACAAAAATCCTTGTAATAAAGCGGGAATTTTTAGCAAAATCAGCAAGACCGGAAGGGTGTTTGGACCAAGAGACTGACACTTCGAGGGCAGAACACTGGGGGACACATTATCTCAAAATGACTAGGGCGGCGCTCACGATAATCGCTCTGTTGCGGGAGGAAGTGACGAGAGTGACGATTCATCTTCAAAAAAGCCAAATCTTGACGTTCCTCGAGACTACTGACATAGAGTGTGAGTATCTTAAATTAACTGATGGATGGGTTGTGGCGTGAGGTTAGTCTCCTGCATGCACGCGGATTAAGCTAGCCGCTGAAAATTGTGTGGTCACGCGTCATTCATAGCTTTTGAAGGCCATCATATAGGATTGGACTGTATTTTGTGAGAAGGAGAGGCTACTGATATTGCAATTCGTTGTTTCCCTACGAAAGAACTTAACTTGATATTTTAATGTCGCTAAATTGGACTGCATTTTGCAATTTGGAGCTATAAATTCTGTCTCATCTGAAAAAACACGTATGTGCATAGGGAAACTAATGGCACATACGTTGTTTTTAAACTGGGCCAGAATTTATAGTTCCAAATTGCAAGATGCAGTCTAATTATCCCTCGTATTACATTTTTACCAGGAGAATATTGGGCATTTCCGAATACAAATTTCACCGATTTTTCCTCTCATCTCATGCAAGAATCAAACAAATTTTGGACAAATGTTGCACGGATGCAGTCTTGTTAAAGCTTAAATTTTTTTGGCAATTTTACAACCTTGGGATGAAGTTACGTTTCCTTGTCTGGCAAACGGCGAATTATGAGACTTCTTGGTCATAGATTCATGGAAGGCGATCAATAAATGGAATTTCATGGAAATCCCGGTTGATTTTCTTCTGTCTGATTAATATTACATTGATTTAAAAATTGTTTTTAATACATGCATCATGCGTACAACTACTTTTCAGGCTCAAATTCTTGCGTTTACGCTCTTTGGAATAATAAACCATCCACAAGTTTAAGAATAAAAAAAATGGATAAAACAATAGATAAAAAAAATATCAAAAGATATTTTTTTTTTTGAGGGAGGGGCAATACACAAGCAAGAAAGAGTTAGAGAAGGTCATACAACTACGTCGATTTTGAATTATATCGGGAGAAATTTGCGCGCGTCCATGTCGAGCGTTTTTCTAATTTATCGGAGCACCTTATTGAATCCGCTTTGTTAGATTACTCCTTGAGAGTTTCCAACCAGTTTTAATGACTGTCAAACTTAGTCATCTTAGTGGCCCCATAAACTTCATCTTTGGAATTTGCTCAATTATTTTCCCCGCGCATAAAACCCTTCCCTCAACCTTATAGAGCTTTTCTTTTGGCTCCTCTATATAATCTTCGTGGAACGGTTGCCAGTTTTTAAACTTCATGTATCACAATTGTTTCACCTTTTTGAAAATCGTTCTTGATGATTTTCCCCATTCACCCCTAGAGTACCTGTATACGAGAGAGTATTGCCATCTCAATCCTTTTACTACAGAATAAGTGTGCCGCCCTCCGATTGGTCGGCTATCATGGAGCCCCTGAGTTGGCCCAATGTAAACAATCCCCAGCCCCTCCGCTCATAGGTTGGCCTAATGTAAACAAAGAAGATGGCGACAAAGTTCTAGACGTGATATTGGATGTGATAGAGACATTTTATCTCCAACTTCTGAATTGAGTTCGGATCAGACTTTGATGGATATTTTTGCCGAAAATTAACCTTTGAGTGCGATTATCATTCATTTCTCAGCCACTAATACGTGTTCCTCTGGGTTGGGTTTGTTTACATTGGGCCAAATTTGGAGCTCAATGATAGCCTAAATCTGAGGAACCAATCAGAGAGCGGCACAGAGATGACAATACTCTCCAGCATAATTATGTGTACTCTACTCTATTCACCCCTACATGGGAGAATATTTAACATTGTTGCCAAATGGTCCTGAAAAATCAACACTCTTCCCATTTAAACATACGTAAAACATCTACATTTAGTTGCACAATCTGGCAACTTTGATATCTGACTACACCCGGTACGGATCCGTTTGAGAGTGGCGAGTAGAAAAACTTACATCCAGGGACGGAAAGGAGATCGTCTGAATGTACAAGTGCCGGAAATGTTTTGTGCGAGGAGCGAGGTGAGAAGGTGGAAGCCGGTCCATTCAAACAGTCGTAGTAGAGCTTCACGAAATAGTCGAGCATCTCCGCGTTTCTCCGCGCCGATCCCGCATCCTTCCCGATGGCTCCCATGATCCTGTCCATCAGCGAGACCGGCGTCGACAGTTTGCTCACGTTCTCCTTGAACCTGCACTCACCGACAAAAAGAAGCTCGAATTACAACCAGATTGTTTGCACAAAAATAATACAAATCTCAAAAAATCGTCTTACTCATGAACCATTGGCGAATCCAGCAAACTGGCAACATTGTCTTTTGTCATGGGAACGGAGTTCCCCATGATATTAGAATCGTTCCGTTGCTTTCGCTATGGGATTCCCTATACCTCTGCGACCTTGAGCGTTTCGCCCAGTCTCCGATTTTTGGTTGATTTTCCGATGTATCAAAAACCGTTGTATTTTTTAGCCTATCATGTCTCTACGTCAAGTTGTGTTGATTGCTAAAATTCGCTTTCAGCGAGTTTTTTTCCACCTTGAGATGTCGTGTCTGACTGGTAAATCTGCGCAGAACCACGAAGTTCCGTTTTTAGGCAAATTCTTTTTTTTGGGAGGTTCTGATTGGTTATTTTTCGCCATCAGTTTTCTGTTCGTTGGTGCAAAAGATCGCCTACCTCGGTGTTCTTGAGAAGCCGCCATTATCCCACCTCAAATTTTAAACATAGATATAAAGAAATAATAACCATCGTACAAGGTGGAAAATTGCTCTGGAGGACCCGTTACGGATATATGAGCCCAAATCAGAACTCGATTGATGGATTTAATCCATGAATACAGAAATATTGCCTCAGCTTACTGCCGCGATCGCAAATCCATACTGAGATGAACCTTGTGACATATGACAGCATAGGTAAACAATGTCTCACAGAGTAATGCGCTTTAATCCGATGTCTCTTATGACGCCAGTGGCCGAACTGCCGAAATCTCAAGGTCGTCTTTTGTGAAGCCCCGCTCAGCGTCCGAGATCACTTAACTGTTCTATTTTCTCCCATTGCTCTCATACGGCGAGATGGCTCTGTCAGCAGAGACACCATTCTGACGTCGGATAAATATCACTTTTTGTGCGAGCGGGGGTTCGAATCTCGCAGGGGACAGTTAATTTTTACTGGTTGTATTGAATGTTTTAGACCAATCATCAAACAATAATTAATACTTGGCAACTTAGGAAGCACACAGGTCCCTTATGATGCGTATTCAGGCATATGTGTAGAGTAAAAATATCATACGTAGGGTGTCCCAAAAGTACCGGGACTGGTTCTGTAACTTCAAAAGTAAGATAGATACAGACATGATTTTGGTCTCATTTTAAGGATCAACTCAATACCTATCGATTAAAACCAAGATCAGCTCAATCGGATAAAAATTGACCGAGTTATGACAATTTGAAATTAGTGAGGAAAGTTTACCCCTACGGTTTTTAGGAAGATTTTTCGCTTACCAGGATTCAAAAAGTTAATATTCGTATCCACTTTCCTCCGAATCTTCCATAACTTCCTTTTGCTTTTCAAAGTACCGTCCATCAAACCGGATGCACTTTTTCATGCGCTCTTGCCACTTATCCAACATTGTTTTCCTGAATTCTTCCTCTGGGATGGCGTTGAAAAAGTTTTGAATTGCATTCTGGATTTCGGTCTTCGATTCGAATCTTCGTCCACGAAGCTCCTTTTTAAGTGTAGGAAACATCCAAAAATCACATGGAGCCAAGTCAGGGCTGTAAGGGGGATGAGGGATTGTTTCAACTCCATTTTTACTCATAAATTCACGTGTTAAGCTCGATGTGTGAGGCCGCGCTTGTCTTGATGGAGTATCCACGAAGCTTTCAAGTCCGACCGTTTCCGGGAAATGTGCATTCTCAACTCCTTTAGCACTTTGCAATAATACGCACTGTCAACTGTTGTGTTTGGTGGTACAAAATGTTGATAAATGACACCTCGAAAATGAAAAAAACACAATAAGCATCACTTTATAGGCCGACTTTTCGATTTACGGCGATGAAGAATCTTCCTTAAAAACCGTAGGCGTAAACTTTCCTCGCTGATTTCAAATTGCCATAACTTGGTCAATTTTTATCCGATTGAGCTGATCTTGGTTTTAATCGATAGGTATTGAGTTGATCTTTAAAATGAGATCAAGATCATGTCTGTATCCATCTTACTTTCGAAGTTACAGAACAAGTCCCGGTGCTTTTGGGACACCTTTTGTATACTTTACGCCGAATAAGCGAACCTGAAACTTAAATGCGGTAACTTCCGAAAACCATAAATAATCCAACGAAAATAAATAATTGGTACATAACAGCTTTCTTGTATGCAAAGAAAATAATTAAAAATGTTAAAAAAGAGATGTCAACGCAAAATTACATAGCCCCTTCAATTCAGAAGATACTACAAACGAACTGTACCTTAACATTTTCATATCCCAGAAGCTAACGTTCCCATGACGAATATTTGCTATCGCTAGCGATTG